AATAGAGAGAACATACAGAGTTTAAGACAATAATGGATCTTCAAGTGTATTCATGTAGATTTATCTTCATACAAGCGTATACTAATTTGCGTTAATAACCAAGCTCCTAATGAACGACCAGAATTTGCACTCCGATTTATGCAGCAGTAATTGTCAACCTCGTGTAATAGTTTTATCATGAAATCAGTTATTATATTTATCTTATTTTCATTTTTTTAAATACATTTGCTAAAGAGTAACAGTAAATTTGTACAGAATAAAGATGTTGAACCTCATTGATCCAAGACAGGTAAAACTTCACCTGTATCAATTAATACCAGAGAATAAAGATGTTATTTATGTTAGAGACATCAGTAGAGATTTAGACATGTATTTTCATATAAACTAGCTCGTAAGAGTAGGTCAGAATTATTTTTTTAAAAATTATTTATTGAAAAGGTTTGTATGAAATAAGTGGAAAATACTAATGCTGGTATAGAGGCTCATAGAAGAGGCGATCAGTAAGCAGCAATATAAAATCAGAAGCATACTTGATACTAATTACAAAAGTCGTTTTTACGTAGCAATGGGAAGGCAACTTGGATATTTTGAAATGAATTACTCTTCTTATTTTCCTGTGTTTCTTTCTGACAGATTCTGACTAAGAAAGACGCTGAACTGAAAGAACAATATAAAGATGAGAGCAGTGTTATTCCCAGACCTGACTATTGGTACGTAATATGAAGGAAAAAAAATAGAAACTCAAACTCATTACCATATTGTTGTGGCTTTTTCAAAGGATAGAACTTAGTTAATGGTAATCTGAATGTTTATTGACAGAAAGGACTGGCATGGTGTTAGGTAGGCATCTGCCTAATGATTATGCTACTAAAATCCAAGTTATGGAAAGTCTTATTTAATATTTTAGTAGTGGATTTAAGTTGATTAACATGATTTTCCCTTTCTATTGTTTAGTGTCAGTCTCTGAAATGCTCCCTCTCTCTCTCTCTCTCTTTCTCTCTCTCTCTCTCTCTCTCTCTATGTCCCCTTTCCCCTATCTATCACTATATTTTGTATTATAATGTTTAAGTGAAGCTTCTGCTTTGTATTAGTGTAATTTGATTAATTATGCATTATTCATATCTTTGTGTTCACTTTTCTCTGACTATTTTATTCCAGGGGTGGTTTCAAAGTGATCCCTGAGGTGATAGAATTCTGGCAAGGACAGAGCAACAGACTCCATGACAGGATTGTATTCCGTAAGCCCAGAGAAGCAGAAAATATTGATGGAAAGTTGGTTCACCAAGGAGAGAATGGCTGGGTCTATGAGCGTCTTTCACCTTGAGAAAGCCAGTTTCAACTGATGGTGAATTTTCTGCTCCTCTACAATTCAGAACAAATGTAGGCAAATATTAAAGGGATCGTTTAACAATGTTAAATCTGAGATGCATGGCCCTACGTGTTATCAGTGTCTGTGATATGGTGTTATATTGAAGCCCTAAACAAAATTGAGCTTCAAAATGATCAAGAAGTGCCTCAAAAAAGTAAACAAATTTGAGTGACTGGTTTTACCATACTCGTTTTCCCCAATAGACTATAGTGTTATGAAAACCGTTTGGCAAATGCAAGATTTGATTTCGATTTTCAACCATAAATATCTTGATAATCAGACAGGCGATTGGCTTGTAAAAGTCATTGGTTCCTGACTGACCGAAAGGTTTATTATTATCATTGCAGCATGAGCTAAATCTAGGATTTTGTTTCAGAATCTGAGACAAAGTTACTGGATACCTTTAAGGGAAATCAAGCAAGGAAATTGCATCAGTTTAAGGTATAAAATGATTGGAAGGAGTCAGTTACCCCTTCTGAAACCTACTGCAAATGTCACTTCTTGTATTTTTTTTCTGTTTGTCTGTCTTGTGTAACACAAAATATTCCTTGCTCGAATGACTTTTCTCATGCCCTGTTCATATTTAGACAGTTAATTGTTCAAGAAACATATCATTATGAAAGAAACAAAAGATGTAGTGAATTAAATATGTCTGTACGTTGTGCACTATGTATACTCTATGGAGACATTGTTGTGCATAGCTTTGTAATTTCAACAAAATTTCCTCTTGCCATATATATATATATACATGTAATATTATACCACATGTATAAAACTTCACAGAGGCAAAGTATTTAATGTGAAACACAGAATATGAATGCAGCAGTATCATCATCATGATTGGATTTCTAAAATGAGAATGACATCCATAAAAAGGGACACTGTGATTGTGGTGTTGATTAAACAACTGTAATATTTAGCATAAAAGATTTGTGGTTGAAATTTCCATGAATAATGTGACGGTTGATTTGTAATATCTACCCAAGGAATTGAAGGAAGACTAGTGTTTCAATAACGCATTTGTTGCTTGCATACAGGTATATTAGTAAGTGCCAATGGTCATAATCAACATGAAGTATATTTCATAATTTGTCTGAACCATTTCTGTAATGTTACTTGTTATAAATCACATGTATTCTGCCATTCCAATTATAGAAACTAATACCTCAGAGAGTTTTAATAGTTGCTCAATTACTTCACATGCTGGTTGTTTTGTGTTCAACATTTTGGCCATCTATACAATGAAGCCTCCAATGTTTTAAATGTAACATTGGTTCCATCCATACAATGTAGCCTTTAATGTTTTAAATGTCACATTGATTCCATCCATATAGCCTCCGATGTTTTAGATGTCACATTTGTTCAATCCATACAATGTTTTAACCCTACATTAACTGGGGGGGGGGTCAATTTGACCCCCCTGTAGTAATTTCGCTACTCCAAAACCGCGGCAGATATAAAATTTTCCTTTCATGACTTTTTTCTTTCGAGTCTTACGCATCTTTTAAAACAATTTTTTTGAAAATCGGACGTATAGTTACAAAGTCACGTGACCTTTTGTCTTTGCATGTCAGCCCGAAAATCGCTCATTTTTGTGATTTGTGTAAAAAACATATGGAAATGTCATTTTTCCTAAAAAGAGATAAAACAATGTTTTTTTAGTCTTGTTTAAAGTTTAGGTGTTTGTTTTTGGGTCAAAACAGTTGAATTGTAGTTATAAATGAAATAAAACAATAAAACAATAAAATGCATAAGTTAAAAAGACAATGAAATGCATAAGAAATTATCAAAACAAGAGATAACATAAGGAATAACTTGACTCTTCCTTTTTTTTATGTTGTATTATTGTTCCAAATGGTCTAACAAATATATGTAGTGAAAATGAATGCTTAAATATGAATAATTTATGATTTATGGGCAAAAATGTGAATTTTATCACCTTATTTGCATAAATTACTATAAATATGCAAATAAGTGAATTTTTCAAAATTACCATATTATTCTATACACTTCACTTGACATGTATGCAAATTTTCGCGTTAAAATGTCACATTGATTGTATACACTGTGTAGACCCAATATTATAAATTATTGTGTATGATGGAGTCATACTTGATACTTCCATTCGTAAATATCAACAAGCAATATACTAAGTATTGATATACATGTGGTTTGTATTAGGGAATGATCAATAGCAGTATTATTTACATGTATGTCGATAAACATGTTATATGTCAATAGTTATGATGGAATATTTGAATGATGCCATTAATAATAATTTGGGATGTGTGAATTTCATTGTACATGTATGTGTAAATCTCAGGACGTTGTTTTGTGGGTTCTTTTGGCTTATCTTAAGCTAAATATAATATTGGTATTAGGATATAGTAAGGTGACTGTTGGTTTTGTAGCCAAAAATCATCATAGTATTAAACCTAAGCCATGAAGTATTATACACTAATTCTTGTTTTGTGTGAATGACTTGAAGTGTTGTTTTGAGCAATCATTGTTCAAGCATAAACAAAAGAGCTTTAATGATCACAAACCTGTCAGGGAAGGATAGATATATGAAGAACATAAGAAAGAGGAAGAAGAAGAAGGAGATAACACTGGTAGATGTGATAACTCACATAAAAATACACATATACTCCAGTCAAGCTGAAGACAAGGATCCAAATGAAATCTAATTATGTGTGCTTTTTTCAAAATATTATTGCCTGTATCTTGTACATACACATGTCCAAATTATGTCGATGAAAATAGAATACACTTTGTGACCATGCAATCAAATATTTTGATCATCCAATATTTAGTTTTTATTTTGTATTTTGTTAGAACAATGGCCAATGAGAAAGGAGAGTATAAAAATGGAATTAATCCCTGGTAAGAGAAAAATTTGTGAATACAAGTTTGAGAAAGATACTGTAAACAATTCAATGTAGATTCATATTATAAAAAATAACCTACACACCTAAATTGTGCCCCACCCCCTTAAAAAAAAGCCAAGCCAAAGAGAGAGAGTGGGAGGGAGAGAGAGAGAGATCGAGGGGGTGGGGGAGGGAGAGAGAATCAGGGGGAAGAAAATATACTAAGAAAGGCATGAGAGGAAAGTTACAAATTGTAGAGATTACAAAGAATAAGGAGTGCAAGTGGAGACGGCAATAAACAAAACATGAGAGAGTTAAAAGGAAAGGGTGTATATGAGTAAGCAAGTAGATGTGAGTTTAAATTTTAAAAGCTGGAGTACTGTGGAAAGAGAGAAGGAAGGAAGATTCCTTAATATATAACGGATAAATAAGAGAAAAGTTTGGAAGATCCTTTGATATATAAGAGAGAAAAGAGAAATGGTAGACTGGAATATGAAAGAAAATACAAAACGGGCATCTACTGTGAATCCTACTGTCTTTCTTATTCCCTTCCCTAAAACCACTGAGAAATACATGAAAAGTCACTTTTCACTTTCAAACTAAAACAAAAGAGTTATATATATATAGTTCTCTCGGAAATGAATTATGTTTTTAAGAAAAAAAGTCATTGGTTTGGCACTTCATAGAAAGAAAAAAAATCGGCTGCTTGAGAAGTAGCTCGGCAGATTACCGTGAACATTCGGTTTGGACAGCTTAGCTAGGAGATGGGAGATTTCACATTTGGTTTCGAGATATTTGAAGACGACAGCAATATAGACACTTCTTCTAATGGTAAATAGCATTTTGTGTCATGAAATGACAAGGAGTGTACCACAAAATGAACTTTCGATTTAGTATCGTATTTAAACTAACATAAAACATTATGTATGGGACAATGTCTAATATCTTACACGCGTGGCATGGCAAGGCTTAACAATGATATTTTTGACTGATAACTACGGTTTGGGTCTATGAGGGACGTCTTGATGTTCCGAAAAAGGAAGAAATGTGTATTATTGATTTCCAGTAGTCAAGAAAGTAATGGGAAATTACCTACATTTGTATTTAATGAGTCTATGCATGTATGCATGTTGATGCACTCTATGGCAAGCCAAATGTCCCTTTTATTATATTGTTCGTTGAGTGCATGATTTTCATGTGTTGTGATACACTTGTGATGACAAATTGAACCAATCTTTATTTGAATGTTTTTGTAAGAGTTTATTCATGTATTCAGGTCAATGACTTTCCAGACAACAAAAATGCATGTTATTTTTATTTTGAGTTTACAATAATATTAGTCATTTTTAAGTTTAAACAGTGTCTAACATCATCCATCTGCAAGAATCTTCAAATGAATTCGAGAATTGTATGTTGGCTAGAGAGGCGAAAATCTGTTCCTGCAACTCTGAACTGCTTAGAACCATTCTGCGTTAAAGAAAAATTGATATGTCGAAAATGAAGTTAAAAGAATTATATTTCACCAGATATATCCTTTAGATTTTATAGAGAAATGTTAAGGTTTTCCCCCATCCCTCACCCTCCCCCACCTGTTTATGCCTATTCCTATTTTGTAATTAGCTACTAGTCTATATCTTAAGATTATTGTACCAGGTTCACATTGACAGAATAACTCTTATTATATCCTTTATCGTAAGATTGTTGCATTAGAAGTGTACACAACTAGAAAAAGAATAGTTTTACTATAAAAGACGTTTCCTGCCGACTACATCGGAATAGTTCATTTTTTATTGCTGACGTCACGCATAGTACCTATGCGTGACGTCAGCGAGCGTACAGGATTTTAATGCCTAAGCGCTGCACGCACGACCAACTAGCGTGCTCTGTCACAGAGCTCAAGCTCATGCAATTTGCGCTGTGCAATAATTGCACCACACTAACGCAATACCGCCAGCTAAATATATTTACATCCTTCAATGTTTCATTTGAGCCATGCAATTTTCTTGTCATTTCTTTTAGATCTGAATGTAAGATGTGAATGTGAGTATAAGGTTCATGTTATTACAGAAGTGTAGGAACAATACAGATGGAAGGGATATAAAACAGATATAAAATGACTCATTCTCGGAACAAGCTAAAACTCTTCGCACTTAGGAACATCATTAGTACTAGTTCATGTTCCTTCGATGCGAATAGTTTCAGCTAGATCCTCGAGTGTCATTGTATATTTGTATAATGCTACTGTAATTCCTACATTTTATATTATATTTTAGATTCTTCTGCAGTTAAAGACCATAGAGGACCAGATGATATAACCTTGAGACCAGCTAAAGAGATCTATATTCCTTACGAGACAAGAAATGAGGTAATAAATGAAAGCTTATATACATGTAATAGGAAAGTATACTGGGCATCATTTCATCAAACTGTCGCAAGTACAAAAGTCGCTATTAAACATCCCTTTGAAACATGTGTTGATTTAAACACACATCTTTAAATAGGATGTCGACAAACTCTTTCTTTTGACGGATTCATGAAATTATGCCCAGGACTAAATGCAGCCATAATCGCTACTGCATTAGTAATAAAATAGTAACATCAAATTTGAAACGAAGTCTGTCACTAGTTTGGCATTTCCAAGTTGTAGAAATTGACCAAAGTGGACGAGACTCGGTATGTGTTCTGAAAGTTAAGTAGTTGACCAAAGCTAAAGAGTCAAAAGGAACAAGCCTGTGCTGTTCAAAGTGTATGAGCAATTTCTGACAACACTACCTACCATAACATCAATAATTTTGCATGACCTTTGACCCTTAGGAAAGGAGAGTTGTGTGTGTATCATGCGGTGATGTGAACCTGTGCTACCTTCATCCTCAAGATGTAGAAGGAATGATTGAAGAAAAGAGTGACATCAAGGAGGCTATCACAACACATTCTGATCTCCTGCCGTCTGTTTATGAAGGTAAGCTACATTAGTGAAATGCATAACAATATGTGTCCAGAAAGCGAACTGCAAGTGTTGTTGAAAATCATGATTTTATCACACAGGATTAGGACAACATCCTTGGTACTTGGTTGAGTAATCCCTTTGGCAGCTCGCTCAGGAAGCTATATTGGGATGATAGGTAAGGGGAGCAAATGCAAGGAGTGCCATAAAGTGCAGGAATGGAGTGTAGACAGAGCATTTGTCAATTTACAAAAAAATATGCTAAGTCCACTACAAGTTACAACCAAGCCAGTAAACTTATACTATGTGAGAGCCTACAGGAGGCTTGCACATTGCTCTAATGGTCGGTAGGGCAGCCTCCTTAAAGTAGGTTATTCCTTTTGCATTGACTGCTGAGCCTGGTAGATGGTTCCAGATCTTTATTGCTCGTGGATAGTAGGAAAACTTGAAGGAGTCAATAGTTGCATCAGGAATAACATACTTCATGAACTTCAGGAATTACATCCTTAGAGCTGGCAAATGAATTTACCATCTTGATTGATAAACTTCTTTCAGATAAATATGTCCAACTTTGAATTAACAAAAATCACTGATCATGCATTTTGCGTTCAGGATGCATCTTCTTGTGCCAGTGCATTTTGCTAAGCTACCTAAACTTCTACTCCATCCATGTTTCAAATTGTTCCAATTAATTCAGCAAAATTCCTCGGAATATTAAGAACACAGTGGAATGAACTATTTTTGACTTTGAAAAGCAACAGCTTTCTTTTCAAGTGTTTGATTTTTTGTCTTCTATCACTTGTTTCACCAAAGTGTCCTAAGATTTATTTAATAATTAATATTAATAAGAAACATCAAAATAATTTAAACTGAAGTGTAAAGATTAATATTTATATCTTTTCATTTTCATGGGCTGATGGAAGAGTCTTCATTTTTTTCTTCTTGCATACAGGTGGGCTGAAAGTCTGGGAATGTTCCTTAGACTTAGTCCAGTATCTCCAGGATTTGGATCCCATCTCTTTCTCTGGTCAGACTATCCTGGAGCTAGGATGTGGAGCCGGTCTACCAGGGATCTACACTCTGATGAAAGGAGCTACTGTCCATTTTCAAGATTATGTAAGACTACCACTCATTGGATTAAATCAATTTAACTTCTATTTTATTGAAATCACTATTCACGATAAAGAACATTTTCCTGGGAAGTCTAGTTTAACAATAATAATAGTCAGATTTTAAATAGCGCTTAATACATCTCGGACATCTCTAAGCCCTTAACGGATAAACTTTTACCCCAGTCATTGGGTTCAGTGCTTGCCTGCACATACTGTGTGCACAATCTCCACTCCCTGGGGAGCATTCCAGCCAGGCGTTACTTGACGCTCAAAAACTGTTTGACCAACAATGACGGTCGCATCCTACCGGGTACCCATTTGAACACCTACTGTAGGTGGAGAGTAGCAAGTGTAGATTAATACCTTGCCAAAGGATATTAGTTTCATGTACTGCAGTATATGAGTTAACCAACTGACTGCTGAATTCTCCTTTTCTCCATATATTAAACAGAGGAACTATTAGGTTCTAGGATTCAGTGGGTATTGGCAGTAATTTATTGCCTTTTACAAAATTCTTGACTCATGGTCACAAAAAGTGTCATGAAAGTGCATAACTCTAAGCAATACACATTTTGATGTAAATGCCAGGAATTCTGTCATTGGATTTCATCATGTTCATAAAAGTTGCCCTACCTGTTTTGTAAACATTGAACCAATCAGTTAGACAGAGAATTCTTTTCTTTTTCTCAGAATGAAGAGGTCCTGGAACTCCTGACCATTCCAAATGTCCAGCTGAACACCATACCAGAGGTCTACAAAGAGAAATGCCATTTCTTAGCTGGGGATTGGAGTTTAGTGCAAGATCTCCTAATGCAGGAAGGCACCGGGTCTGTCTAGCTTAATATTCTATTTCAAGTACCCTACCCCACCCCCAGACCACCCCTTCCCTCCCCCCCCCCCCCCCCTCCCCCCATTTCATTTGGTTTATTGATACTGGAATGGTTATCAGGAAATGACAGTTTGGGGTTTATTGTCCTACTATCTTCGTTCATATTATGTCTCTTTTTGCGGTTAAATACATATCAATTTATTCTGCTTAGGAGTAATTAGAGTAAATCACTTCTCCAAGCCTTAATATTTATGCAGAAGTTTGTCTTCATTTCTATCTCTCTCATTTTCCTCTGGATGTGTTTTTTTTCTGTTTTTTTTTTCTTCTTCATATTTGTCTTTTCTCCCTCATTCCATTCTCCCTTTTCAATCTCTTTTCCTTACTCTCTCATGTCTCCCATTTTCCTTTATCAACATATCACTGTTGCTCTCTCTTTCTCTCTCTAGCTCTCTCTTGAAACCCTTCATCCATGAGCATCTATTGTCTTCTATGACATCTCTAACTCTCTATTTATATTTATAAATATATATGTAATATAAGACTAATTATGTGTATTATACTGATGAGACTGAGTATTTAGTGTCCATGAATGTATTTTAGTGTCATATAAATCTTTTCTCTCGTCCTTCTCTTTCTTATTTCCTGTATGTGTATTACATGTTCCAGGTATGATGTTATTCTGACTTCAGAGACAATATACAGCTTAGACTCCCAACCCAGGCTTTACAACATTATCAGAAGCTTACTCAAACCAAATGGAAAAGTGTATCCTTTATCACATTAGTTTTCAAGCCTGTGGCCTTTCTAGAATTGAAGTTGTTTGTACATTGTACCTATAATTGCATGTGTTAATTGATGGTAAACAATTCGCTATGTTCTATTTGAATGCAGAAATCTAACTTTGACACTGATATGAGAGGTTTATTACTGTGTATCTCAATTAAAATGTTTTAGAAGTGTCTGAGTCTCTGAGACATTCTCTTTTTTGCCTGCTCCTATCCTTTCATTTATTCTCCTGATGTTTGGACTGTAGAATGGTAACAAAGTTTTAGAGTGGAAAATACATCAAGAGTAATACCTGTAGAGTAAATATGACTTGCCCTTTTTCTTGAGTCTCAAAATGTTCTTGGATTCGGAAATGTAAGTTTATGGCATGAATTAGAGAGCTTAGAATGCTTCTGTGATCCCAGCCGCAGCTCTCCCTCGTTTGTTAGTATGTCCATCTTTCTCTTTCTCTCTCTATCTCTTTCTCATGATTTAAATGATAATCTTCTTCTTAGAATTTGAAGATGATGGTCATGATTCAAAGAATTTATATGGCACCATATTTAGAAACATTCAAAGGGGCACGCTCCTCTCATGAAGTCCATATTTCATGTTTGCTGAAATATATTTAGTGTTTTGAGGCATCATTTGAAGTGTTCTAGATAGTCAATCGCATGAAGTGTGATTTTAATTGAGTTCTACAAACACGACCAATGGATGAGAAGACACAGTCTCAAGAATGTTCATTCAAACATGTATAACCTGATAAGACTTGATTATACTTAACCTAAACCATGTTCTAGATTTCTTGCTGCTAAGACACATTACTTCGGTGTAGGAGGTGGGACCAGGCAGTTTGAAGACTTTGTGAGAGAGAAGGGAGAATTTGAAATAGAATCTATAAAAGTTATCAGTCAAGGTGAGGATTAAAAGAGTGTTCTAACTTTGTTAATCTTTTTTTGAAAGCTTTGTGGTAAAAATAGAATGATTTTGAAATAATTGAAATAAATCCAATAGGATTTATCCCTTGACATTTACCCCAGAAAAATACCAATTCAGACAATTCTTCATTGGACAATGTACCTCTTATTACCATCAGACAACTACTTTCGGACAACTACATCTTTGTCTTATTTTGATATCCTGAGCTGATTCCCATTGCATATGATCTACCATTTCATTTGATCTACCATTATTATTCTTCATAAAAAAAATATTCTTTTTAAATTTATTTATATGACCAAGTTTTGCAGGTTTCTGATCAGTTACTTTCCACTTACATAATGAGTTGAATTTTTGTTATCTTCGTTATCTTTTTTTGCCATGTAGGAGTTCGGAGGGAGATACTGGAAATGCGGTTCATACAGCCTGAGAACAAGGGAGCAAAGACGTGAGAACACAGCAAGCAATCCTCAGAGCTTGTTGACTTGACACCTGGAACATAGACCTTGGAGAAATTCATTTCTAAAGGAATGAGGTTTAGACTAAATGAATCAGCTGTGTTTGTTTAATAAAACATCTACTCCTGATGATGGTATTCTGGGTTTATATAATGCTTAATACATCTACAATGTCTATAAGCGCTTTAAAGATATACTATTACCTCAGTCATCAGATTCAGGCTTGCCCGCACACAATGTATGCACATTCTCTACTGTCTTGGGAGAATTTAAGTCGTGCCCCATTTTACAGACGACAAAATTCTTTATCGCAGTTGTTTGAACTCTCTGCCTTTGGCACCTTAACGCTTGAATTCGCGTAGAAGTTCCCTCTCTTCTGTCTCTCCACTAGAATGCATCACAGTAGCTAGATGCATTGGCCTATGGGGAGAGAGACTGGAGAAACATCAAGAGGATGAATGCATGGCCATTGACCCATCTGAGACACTCCCTGCAGGATCTGACTGACCATGGATCACAATGGCGCAGTCTTAAAGGCCGTCTGTACTAGTTTGGCTAGCAGGGATTAGACCACACAGGGTGGTCACTGACAGGTGGCTATCTCATCAACTCAGCTCTCAATTAACATAAGAAAAAGAGGATCATGGGGAACAATGATCACTGTTTAGGCATTGTTTTCTATATAGAGGGAGCAAGTAACTACAAGTAGTACAGAGGGCCTTTAACAGGCAGCATACAGGTATGGGGAGGTGCAGGGCGAACATGCACACGTGGGGATCCATTGTCAGCAGACAGTTAGTGCGGCAGGGCCCCTGGACCACGGACCATATAATGAGCTCTGACTTGCTAGCTGACACATGTACTGAGAAGGATCTGGCAGAGGCTAACGACGTGGGTCTTAAAGAGAAGGTTGATTTCTGGGAAAAGGTGAAAAATAATTTGTGAGCGTTATCCTTGTATTATGCAAGTGTGGAAGAACATCAGATACAAAGTGTTCCCTGACAAGCATGGCTCTTCAAACGCCTTAATATTATAAATATGGCATGTAACATCATAAAATCGGGAAAGCATTTTATGCCACTTGTTTGTGTAATCCCATATACAACTTTCTGTTTACAGTGCTTGTAACTTTACCAAGACTAGGCCAAATTTCTTATCATTTTGATGATTCCAGAACCTTGCAGTGCACACCAATACTTATCAACCTTTTCTGATCGATTCCACAACATTTCTGTCACAATGCAATCGCATGACCAGAACTCCACTTTATCTTTAAAGTCTTACTCTCACTAGAAATTGTAGATGTGTGATGAATCAACTCTGTGCCTGCTGAGGGCAACAAATAAAACAATCATTGGACTGCCATAGTCATTCATTGTCACACATTCAATATGTTTGTTAACAAAATGGCAGTCCAGAGTGTCTGTCCACAGCAAAGAATAGTTTGAAAAAGTATTTACGTGAAAGTAAAATGATAATTACGTGTAGTTCATACCTGTGACAAATATCACTAATAGGATTATTAAATAGATTTATACATCTGGTTAAGTTATCTAATCATTCCAACCCATTTCAGAAGATAGATATACATGTAATTAAAAGCCCATAAAAGACCTTTAACATAATTACTAGCGCATGTCTATAATTTCTTTAGTGGGCATATGTCTGGGTATTTCCCAACATGTTTCATATTATCTGTGAATTATACGAAGTGCTCGTTCTTTCCAAATTTTTATACAAATAATGAAATCATGTGACAACATCATGATGCATGCATTGTACAGAGAGATAATAATGGAGCTTATGAGCAAGATTTGACTGTAATAAATGCAAGTACATGAAGATGTATTAATGTGTCATATTGATCTTATGGTTGTAAAGTAGATAGCTGTGATGTGTTTGTTGTGTGAGGTTCTTTGAGTGAGGATTCTTTGAGTGAGGGTCCTTTGAGTGAGGCGTCTTTGAGTGAGGAGTCTTTGAGTGAGGAGTCCTTTGAGTGAGGGTCCTTTGAGTGAGGCGTCTTTGAGTGAGGTTTCTTTGAGTGAGGCGTCTTTGAGTGAGGAGTCTTTTAGTGAGGATTCTTTGAGTGAGTGTTCTTTGAGTGAGAGTCCTTTGAGTGAGGCGTCTTTCAGTGAGGAGTCTTTGAGTGAGGTTCTTTGAGTGAGGAGTCTTTGAGTGAGGGTTCTTTGAGTGAGGATTCTTTGAGTGAGGATTCTTTGAGTGAGGCGTCTTTGAGTGAGGTTCTTTGAGTGAGGATTCTTTGAGTGAGGGTCCTTTGAGTGAGGATTCTTTAAGTGAGGGTCCTTTGAGTGAGGATTCTTTTAGTGAGGGTTCCTTGAGTGAGGGCCCTTTGAGTGAGGATTCTTTGAGTGAGGGTCCTTTGAGTGAGGATTTTTCTAGTGAGGGTTCTTGGAGTGAGTATTCTTTGAGTGAGGGTTTGTTGAGTGAGGGCCCTTTGAGTGAGGATTCTTTAAGTGAGGGTTCTTTGAGTGAGGATTCTTCGAGTGAGGATTCTTTAAGTGAGGGTCCTTTGAGTGAGGATTCTTTGAGTGAGGGTTCTTTGAGTGGGGATTCTTTGAGTGGGGGTTCTTTTAGTGAGGGTTCTTTGAGTGAGGATTATTTAAGCGAGGGTTCTTGGAGTGAGGATTCTTTGATATAAAATGATATTAACTTCAACCCTATTCAAGTAGACAGAGCCTTCTCAATCCTATATTGACACCAATCATAGTAATAAACAATTCCCTCATTCAACTATATCAAGTTCAAGTTCACTTTATTCAATACGTTCATTAAAAATAAACAAAGGAAAACAAACGTATAAAAGTTAAAATATAATACATCATGACGAAAACAGTCCATTTAAACTTCACCCCACTTTGGACCCGAAAGTGGGGTGCATTTTGGTGGTAAGCTCACCACAGAGCAAGAGAGAGTTAGAGTCCCTAATCTGCAGTGTAAACAAACTTTGCCAGGACATCACCAGCCCAACCTTGATAAGTACTGCTTGGAACTCCTCCATGATGTTCTAGTCTTATTCGCAGTCTCATATAGGTTCGGATTTTGTCCATTCTCATAGCTACCAGTATACATGGGAGATGCCAGTTTCATCTTCCTTGCTTCACTCTATAAGCATAGTTATATCAGGAACTTCCTGGTTATAATTATGTTCCTTTCAAGTTTCATCATAATTGTCTAGTTCGATATAGTACATGGACACAATTAAATATGATATTGTCTAAAATTGTCAAAAATATCTTAACATCAAAATGATTTCTGGTCATGTTTAACTATTTTAATTGAAGCCTTTTTACTTGATCTAATACTTTTATGAGGATGACATAGTCCGCAATAAACTTGACAAACATTATCATCCATACTATATGTCGGAGTTTATAACAATAATTACTCATGAACCTCACACTACAAGTACAACATTCATCCAGATTCTGAGATTGCTCATTCTCACGAAGCTTGGTGTACGCGAGGATATCGGGAAAGAAAGCGGTCTGTAATACCAGACACGCAAGTGGGGTATTTCGGTCCCCGTTCACCGAAAAGTGAGATTCTCCATTTGAAAGTCGGGTAAGGTCGACAAATATAGCCTCTGTTAAAGGCGTTACTCCGACACCAAATTTATTCGCATAGACGAAATAAACTCGAACGCGTTCAGAAAAATGGTGTAGGCCTAGGCCTATAAGGAAAGGCCGGGAAAACATACATTTTGTTGGTTTGACCGTTAAATATTTTTGAGGTATTAAAGCAAGAATAGCATGTTGTAAATATTGTTTTCGTTACATTTATTCAGTGCGTAATCTGAAGGTCTACTCAACTTTCTTTGCCTATTTCTTGCCCCCCCCCCCAAAAAAAAAACCGGCAGATCAAGGATTTGAAAATAGGGAGTGGCCGGGGCTCAGACGTCAAATTTGAAATAGGGGGGGGGGGTGGTTGTTTAGGCAGACGGCATATTTCTTGGAATTCGTTATAAAGACGGTATTTAAAAAAATGATGATTCTGGCAAGATAAGAATTGAATTTCATCAAACTTTTATTTGATTTAATATGATCTGTACACGTAAAGGATACAATATTTATTTCCCCACAACACATCAAGCCGTGATGATTGAATGTCCATTGCATGTAACACGAAAGAAACAGAAACTCTCAAATCTACAATCCTTTAGAAAGATAATAATTAGCTGAGTGATTAGGGCATTACAAGACATCGAAGGACTTAATCTATTTTACAATAGTTGATGCAACCATAATGGAACATTATGCTTCTCGATACTGAGGATATGAAATTTCAGCACAAGAGTATTTTGTTTCAAAATTTTATAGCAGTTCATTAAAGAAACATTTCGATGCTCACTTGTATAATAAATCTCTATGACAAGCTCATTTTTATCACGACAGTTAAACCTTTTCACTTTTTGATACTTAAGATTGTTGAAGAATTGCCTAATTGACTGCTCGGATGATTTTTTACCATTCTCCGAAACCTCTTGGTTTTTTGCTCATGATTATAGCGCATTATTCTTTTTGTCACTGTATGTATTAATAAGCAAATACATATCTGCACAACGAACGTCTTTATAATTGTGATGTCCTCGTTTCGTTGTATGTTATAAATTCAATATCATGACGAGAAGTGCGTCAAAAATATCTTAACATCAAAATGATTTCTGGTCATTTTTAACTATTTTAATTGAAGCCTTTTTACTTGATCTAATACTATTATGAGGATGACAAAGTCCGCAATAAACTTGACAAACATTATCATCCATACTATATGTCGTAGTTTATAACAATAATTACTCATGAACCTCACACTACAAGGACAACATTCATCCAGATTCTGAGATTGCTCATTCTCACGAAGCTTGGTGTACACGAAGATATCGGGAAAGAAAGCGGTCTGTAATACCAGACACGCAAGTGGGGTATTTCGGTCCCCGTTCACCGAAAAGTGAGATTCTCCATTTGAAAGTCGGGTAAGGTCGACAAATATAGCCTCTGTTAAAGGCGTTACTCCGACACCAAATTTATTCGCATAGACGAAATAAACTCGAACGCGTTCAGAAAAATGGTGTAGGCCTAGGCCTATAAGGAAAGGCCGGGAAAACATACATTTTGTTGGTTTGACCGTTAAATATTTTTGAGGTATTAAAGCAAGAATAGCATGTTGTAAATATTGTTTTCGTTACATTTATTCAGTGCGTAATCTGAAGGTCTACTCAACTTTCTTTGCCTATTTCTTGCCCCCCCCCCCCCAAAAAAAACCGGCAGATCAAGGATTTGAAAATAGGGAGTGGCCGGGGCTCAGACGTCAAATTTGAAATAGGGGGGGGGGGGGTGGTTGTTTAGGCAGACGGCATATTTCTTGGAATTCGTTATAAAGACGGTATTTAAAAAAATGATGATTCTGGCAAGATAAGAATTGAATTTCATCAAACTTTTATTTGATTTAATATGATCTGTACACGTAAAGGATACAATATTTATTTCCCCACAACACATCAAGCCGTGATGATTGAATGTCCATTGCATGTAACACGAAAGAAACAGAAACTCTCAAATCTACAATCCTTTAGAAAGATAATAATTAGCTGAGTGATTAGGG